GGCTAGAGGGCGCAACGCGCCTGGAAGCCCTCCGAATAAAAACTTCATTTATACTAAACATCTTCGGGCTAGATGGCGCAACGCGCCTGGAAGCCCTCCGAATAAAAACTTCATTTATACTAAACATCTTCGGGCTAGAGGGCGCAACGCGCCTGGAAGCCCTCCGAATAAAAACTTCATTTATACTAAACATCTTCGGGCTAGATGGCGCAACGCGCCTGGAAGCCCTCCGAATAAAAACTTCATTTATACTAAACATCTTCGGGGCTAGATGGCGCAACGCGCCTGGAAGCCCTCCGAATAAAAACTTCATTTATACTAAACATCTTCGGGGCTAGAGGGCGCAACGCGCCTGGAAGCCCTCCGAATAAAAACTTCATTTATACTAAACATCTTCGGGGCTAGAGGCGCAACGCGCCTGGAAGCCCTCCGAATAAAAACTTCATTTATACTAAACATCTTCGGGCTAGATGGCGCAACGCGCCTGGAAGCCCTCCGAATAAAAACTTCATTTATACTAAACATCTTCGGGGCTAGATGGCGCAACGCGCCTGGAAGCCCTCCGAATAAAAACTTCATTTATACTAAACATCTTCGGGGCTAGAGGGCGCAACGCGCCTGGAAGCCCTCCGAATAAAAACTTCATTTATACTAAACATCTTCGGGGCTAGAGGGCGCAACGCGCCTGGAAGCCCTCCGAATAAAAACTTCATTTATACTAAACATCTTCGGGCTAGATGGCGCAACGCGCCTGGAAGCCCTCCGAATAAAAACTTCATTTATACTAAACATCTTCGGGGCTAGATGGCGCAACGCGCCTGGAAGCCCTCCGAATAAAAACTTCATTTATACTAAACATCTTCGGGCTAGAGGGCGCAACGCGCCTGGAAGCCCTCCGAATAAAAACTTCATTTATACTAAACATCTTCGGGCTAGATGGCGCAACGCGCCTGGAAGCCCCACTACCTTTTTTTAAATCTAGAATATTGTATTATGCTTAGTATTATTTCATTTTTCTCATTCAATTTAGAATTTACAAATGTCAAAAAATTGAGAGCTGTCACTTTTGATGAATTTCTGTTTATTACAAAGGGAGCTTGAAAATACGTGAGTTACAAAATAAATTTCGATTATATACAATGCATAGATGAATTAGACAAACATGATAATATGTCTATTTTTGTCTTGCTATCACCTCCTTTTTTTGTGTAATACCCAGATTTGCCTTACTTTTACCACCCCTCTAAAGCTGGGGACACCGCCTATCGTTGGGAGTAGCTATTAAATAGAACCACCAAGGGTATTTTTCGACCTGCCGGTGTAGTGGAAACATCCGACATAATGATTCATTATGCCAAGGTTTGATTCCCATTTAGCCAAATTTTTTCTTTTTTGGATCATGAATTTTCTTTTGGGTCACTATAAGATTTGTTTCATGTTCTAAATCTGCTGCATATGTAATCTATTTTTATTTACCTATTTTTTAAAAATCTATTGGATTGCCAAATTTGAATATATTTAAAATCATAAAAATCCAAAAAAACTATAAATATATGTTTTATGCATAGTGCCGATACTCAAATATCAGATTACTTAGATCCATGAATAATATCCGAATTTTTTTTCTTAAAATTAAACTTCAAACTTCTTGCAATCTTATTCTTAATCAATTGTAAATTTTTAAAACCATTTTTTAAAATAATTTTGCGTAAATTTTATTCTCATGTTGTTTTAATCGAAAATTGATACATTTTCAAAAAAAATAATATTGACTTATGAAATTCATTTTTAAGGTGAAATAGTATTGTTTTTATTAAAGTATATGAATAATATATAAAAAATTAATGAATAATATAAGCAGATTTTTAGTTTACAAAACAAATATGAGCAATGCAATTTCAAACTTTTGCTGGCAATTTCGATATTGCTCAAGTTTGTAGTATTTGTGATACCTATAACATCGGCTTAATCAAAATTCGATTTTTCTTATGAGTTATTGAGAAAATTTGATTGCAATGAGAAGGATTTCGACGTTTTTGATAAACTAAGAGCTGAGCTTTAGGGTTCAGTTCATTTATGGCTGTAGTTTGATGCGTAGATCTCTTTTTTATTGTAAATTCTTTCAGCATGGAGATCGAGAATGAATCTTTTGAGAACTTTATGAGTTTTTACACCCGTAAAGAGGTCCTTCGAGGAAAGATAGTCCAGACTACATGAAGATGTGGGTTAACCAAAAAAAGCCGATGGTTTCCCCATATTCATGTAGATCTTCGAAAAAATGAGCACCAAAAAAGCCAAAAAAATAGGCTTTTTATTGGATTTGTACACTAGATTAATAATCTATTTAGGATCTGACACTCTTTTTAGCCAGAGATATGAGGTCCTTTCTAGGAAAACGATCTATTCATCCATAAAAAAAATGAATTATCGTTTTCCCAGAAATTACATGGGGAGTGGTAAAAGTAAGGAAAATCTGGGTATTCATAATAAATTTCATAATTTTTATTTGCCACAAATGAATATATCGAGATGTTACTGTTGTAAACAGAAATTCATCAAAAGTGACACCTCAGAAAAGCTAAAATATTGAATTTTTGGAACTTTTGATAGAGCACGTTTTTAAATATTAATTAAAGTAAATGTATATTTTGTAAAGATTCTTTTTAATAAAAAATAAAATTTTGAAGAAGAACACAAAATCTTCTGAAAATAATATCACATAAACTCATATTATTTTCTAATATATAACTATTTTATATAAAAATCAAATTCAATGATCTTAAAAGCGAAGGATAAACCTCAAAATTTACGAATATAATGAGTGGGAATATAATGCTTATCTATCATAAAACCATATGAAATATCAATTTTTGCTTTACGCCTAATTTTTGACGACAATTAGCAAAAAATGTTAAATGTTAACACTCAGTCCATTTGAATATGAAAAATAAAATTGACTTTGATTAAATGTTTTTATTTATCATGCAATTCTTCTTGCGACCAAAGATTTGAATAAAAGTTCAAAAAATAAGATAGCTTAAAAAATAATATACGGTAGTGTTTACTAATAGATGAATAGTATATAAATTCTATTAAAATGGATTTGATCCAAAAAAATATAAAACCAAAAATAATTGTTATAATTTAAATGAAGAAGTAATTTAAAACGATTTTATTTATGATCAAATTTTATATATTTTTTTGGATCAAATCCATTTTAATAGAATTTATATACTATTCATCTATTAGTAAACACTACCGTATATTATTTTTAAGCTATCTTATTTTTTGAACTTTTATTCAAATCTTTGGTCGCAAGAAGAATTGCATGATAAATAAAAACATTTAATCAAAGTCAATTTTATTTTTCATATTCAAATGGACTGAGTGTTAACATTTAACATTTTTTGCTAATTGTCGTCAAAAATTAGGCGTAAAGCAAAAATTGATATTTCATATGGTTTTATGATAGATAAGCATTATATTCCCACTCATTATATTCGTAAATTTTGAGGTTTATCCTTCGCTTTTAAGATCATTGAATTTGATTTTTATATAAAATAGTTATATATTAGAAAATAATATGAGTTTATGTGATATTATTTTTCAGAAGATTTCATTCTATATGCCTATGAAAAGTACTCTCAAAACTAACTTTTTCCTAATTATAATTAAATCTAGAATATTGTATTATGCTTAGTATTATTTCATTTTTCTCATTCAATTTAGAATTTACAAATGTCAAAAAATTGAGAGCTGTCACTTTTGATGAATTTCTGTTTATTACATTACCATTGATGTTCCTAGTCAAGCACGCATATTAAAGTGGAAAATTGTGATAGTTTTCAACTTAAGGGTATAGTAAACTCAAAATTCTAGAGTTTTGAGAGTGCCAATAAACTCTATAGGCCTATATATATCTATATTTTAAAGGAGAGGTTACGCCATAATATTTGATATTATAAATTATTAATTCAAAATAAAAGTAGAAAATGAAACTAATTTTATTCTAACCTATATAAATATATCAATAATCTAAAATGATTATAGTCTGAACTATATTTTACCAGATTATCAAATATAAGAGAAATGAAATAAGGCATAAAAATATCATAGCATAATTATTGGATAAATGCATTAATAAATTATTTATATCATAATGAGAAAAAATCAAAATAAGAAAATGAGCATAATAATAATTTAATTAAAAACAAAAACAATAAATAAAATGTAATTTTCGTTAATCAAAGTCATCAATGTCTTCGTCTTCTGATTCCCATTCGGACTTGAAAACTTGATAATCTCCTCCTGGTACACTCTGAATGGAGTTTTTGTATTTGTTCTGTTTTTTAGAACCTTTTGTAACAGTTTTTTGTTTCAATATCATTTTGGAGTAACAATTCTCTTCAAATGATTTGACACAATCTTCTGGAAGTGGGGGAAGATGTAATGCTTTTTGTATATCTCCGAGAAAATGCTCTGGATCATTCCATTCTAAGATTGCAACGTTAACTCTAATGTTAATGTTCTTCCAGGCTCTTGATTTGTCCAAATAGCATGCAATTTTGGAGTTAAACGCTTCATTCATGCAGGTAGATCCAATGGAAGAAACTTTGGAAACTATGGGTGTCCATTTGTGAACCCAGTCATAGAGCATGAATTGAAGTTGGATCGAATTGACACCTTTTTGCCATTCAAAGCATTTGTAATTGTGCGGTTCGCAAAAAGAATGATTGCCTACGTAATGGTAGACACAATTCTCCCACATTTTCGTACGTTTGTCAATATTTTCTTCGGCAAAACATGACCAAAGCCACATACTTAGGCTTGCATTCAGACCCCAGAAAGGTCTCTCTATTTTTTCAATCTTCTGAGTCTTGTCGTTGAAAACTTCAACTGTCTTATGAGAAGCTGAGAACTTTGTAAAATCTTTTGAGATATTTTTTGATACATGACCTGGATCGAATCTTTCAAGATGAGAGACGCCAAATTCTTTAAAGACAGAGACACTTTTGTTATCTCGGTCTTTAATAATCTCTTTAACATCTTTCAAGATATTGTATTTCTTTAATTGCTTCAAGATGATTCGAGTTCCAGCACTTTCCATATTGTTGGAAGCTCCGGAATACTGAGCATGCTGTCTGTTTCCACCAATATGGTTGATGTTCACGCATGCAAGAACTCTTTTTGTGACAGCATCGAGCGCAGTTACTGTACAACTTGGCGAGTTTCGCCTGTGCGTCCATCTTGCATCAATGGATAAGTAACCACTGAAGGACTTTCTCGACAGCATTAGGGAAATACTTTTAAGTCTTCTAATCTTATCGTCACAAAATCTCTGTTGTCTCATGACACCACTCTTCACAGGGGGCTTAGTTCCACAAAGAGAAAGAAAGCGAGCACCTTTTGTATATGGCATTCCGGTCATTATGCAAGCACCAAGCATCTGTCGCGCTGAGAGTCGACGACGTTCGTGGAGTAAAATGTTATGCATTGCCTTTGTTTTCCGTTTTGGGTGAACAATATGGCCCATACAACAAAAAAAATGAAATCCCGCCAAAAGTGAAAATTGAATAAAAAGTAATAATTAATAAATATATACTATATCATTAGATGAATATTTTGGAATAACATTTTAAAATCGAGGTTTTTCAATGGATAACGGTTCAATCAAAAATTTGACCCCATTTTAGAATCTACATTAAAAATGGAACATTTCTGTCGTTTCAAAATTCCAAAATAACGTTTCTATTCCTCTCAAAAGTAAAAATAAACTTTATTGGGGAAAAAATATTTTTATTTTCCAAAAAAAATGAAAACCTTAAATGCAAATCTAATTTTGATGCTTTTGTTTGTGATTTTTTGGATTTCGAAAAAAATTTGAAAATTCAGACAAGTTACCATTAACACTAATACGTTTCAGCGAGTCGGTCCCATCAGAGAAATTTTCATAAATCGGCGATATAATTTATTATTTCAGCAAAATATTCTCAGATCCAACTAGAATAAGGTCAAATTATACAAATTTAGCAAAGGCTAGTTATCCTACCTATTCAATTAACTTTAATTTTAAATAATTCAAGACAATTCTCAAAATTACCTTAATAATCGCGTTCTCTTCGCAAAATGACGATTCATCATTCACTACCAGCATAACTGAGGGCTTGTGCTCACAGAATAATACAGATAATTTACTTATTAATGCAAAATTTAGTACCAAAAGGTAATCATAGAAGATACAAAAAAAGTTTCTTTATTTTGATTGCTGATTTTATTTCTTCTAAAATTTACCAAATCTAAAAAATCCAAAATTGAATGCTATTGAATTTCATGTTTATGTAACATATACTATTTATTATATAAGGAATAAAAATTTTATAGTTTTAATCAAAAATAAAGGTGTACTAAATGCATACAAAACAAGGTATTTTTTACTCATCCAAAATATGTTAACAGTGCTATTTATATAATCAATATCCGAATTTCGAAATCATTTTGATGAAATCTTTATTTTAAAATTGAGTTGACTGTTAAAATCACCCGAGAAGAGGGATTATCTCAATGAAAAGTACATAAAATAGCAAACGCACAAGATGGCACTATGCAGCTTTATATTGTTATACAGGATGAACATATAAAATGTTTGGAAAACACTTACTTCGTTCTACAAATGTGTATCTCTTTATATCAAAGATTCTTCTCAAATTATTGAGAGACTTCTCTCAAAAAAAGGAAAATTTGATAACTAAAAAAAATTATGGCATAACCTCTCGTTTTGCATAGATATATATTTACATGGTCACAGAGCTTATTTTCATTGTCAAAACTTAAAAATTTTTAGTGGACTATACCCTTAATAATTTAATTAATTTTGTATTTAACATTTGAGAGAGTTTTAATATTTGGTACAAGTATGTTTAAGGTAGCTTAATTTAAATAAGTATAGCGAACAAAAATGCGAGCGGTGTTAACGAAATCCTACATTTTCAAAATAATTTTGTAAGAAACAATTCTAATTCAAATTTCATATTAGAAAGTATATCAGAAGAAGCCGAAGATCAATTATTTAATGAATCACCAATTAAAAAATCTATTAATAATAAAATTTCTGAAATAATTCCATCACAAGACCAATTACAGCTTGACGACATTACAGAAGAAAAATCCGAAATAAATACATCAATAATTTCCACAAATACAAAAAATTCATATTCATATCTTGAAGAAGAAGAAAAAGAAGATAATTTCGAGTTTTATCCAGAATATGACTATTACAAACCTCGTCAACCTTACGAAAAACCTAAGAAAGGCTCAAAAAGAGTCAAAAGAAAACCAAATGCTGCATTTATTGAAGAACAACAAGAATTAAACACAGGAATTGATATTGATATTGAATATGAATATTCATATGAAGAAGAAAACAACGAAGAAGTTTTGTTTCTTGGAATTCCAAAAGACGGAGTTTATGCTAGTGATGACGATCATCGTGGCTTTCGTGTTAGTAAATATCCTAAACTGAACAGATACGAAACAGATCCAGATAAATATCAGGTCATTTCGACAATGAATTATCGATCTCGACTTTCAGAGTCAGTTTTGTCTAATGAAACATATCTATTTGAGTTCAACCATATATTCGATAGTGACCCAGATAAAATATCCCCTTTAACTCTTAAAAACGGATCAAGATTTATATTCTCTTCATCAAGTGATGATGAATCCGGACTCAAACAAGACAAATTCAATACACCAAAGAAGTATAATTACAATACACCTAAAATTAGCAAATCAACAACAAAAATTTCACAAAAAGAAAATTATCAACAATCAACTCCAAAAACAACAACAAATAAAGAAACCCATTCAAAAACCTCGCCTTTTAAACGAAAATTCCTTGATAATTCTAGTTCAGATGATGATAATTATAAATCTACTCCCAGAATCAAAAGAGATAATGCCAAATCAGCCTATAATTATAATAATAAGTTCCTTAAAGGAATTGATTAATTGTTTTATTTGTTTATATTTATAAATTGTTATATTATTCATCTAGTTATATTTTTCTTTGAATACAATGCTTGGATTATCTTTATCTTCTCGAGTTAAAAATAAATCATCATCAACAGGATCTGTCGTTATAAAAGTACCTTACAAATAATTTATTTGTTTCATCATTTATGGAGTTTGGAGTTACCCAGAGAAATGTTATCATTACATTGAATACAATAATATAATTTGTTATTATCAGCTCGATGAGAAGTAACACGTACAATAGATTTCCCAGACATTATAAAAAATGAATAATTCTGAACAACTAAACTTGTGAATTAACAAAATTAACATAAATATTAAATATTTGATGAATGTATCATTGAATTTCACTGAAAGTTTTACCCCCATCCTTTTTATTACTTTTGCAATGAGTCAAAAAACTCATTGTTTAAGTGCAATTAATTGCATTCGAGAAGTATTCCCATAGCGATGCTGATCAAGATAGTGTTTGGAACCTTTATTATGAAGGAATTAGTCCTCCTTCCGAAGTTTTTACCGGTGAAGTTGAAAAAGTCACAGCAGCATCTAACAAATGCTTTGCATACATCTGCAAGTTTACCAATCTTCAAGATAGAGCAGTTAAATTCGAATATACAAAAGATTACTCGATTTTACTTTGCGAAAACGTTTTTTCAAAAGGTTCAGGTACAGTATATATTCAAAGTTATAGTAAAAATAACATTATTATTGATAAATTCTGTTCATTTGAAAGTCAAACTCCATCAGTTGGCCAATTTACTTATTTATATGGCGAAATTAACAGTACACTCCTCCAAGGATCAATTTGTAATGGAGGAAATAGTTCAGTAGATTTAATGATTTACCAATCTCAAGGTTTTACATCACTTTCAAAAACAAACGTTTCTAACTGTATTTCAGTACGATGTACAGGTTTTAGTTATGATGATGTTGAATCAACAGTAAATGTTTCATTTTGTAATTTTGAGAATTTAAAAGCAGCTTTCTGTATTATTACTGGGTTTTCTTGTCAAGGAAGAATTGACCGATGTAATTATATAAATAATTCTCAAGAAGGATATGAAGGATTAGTTGATGTTTCTTTTAGTAGACTTGATATTTTCAATTCATCTTTCCAAAACAATCAACAGAATAACAAAGGAGTTTTATTTGAAGCATATTATGGACAAATTTATATACATCAATGTAGTATTGATGATTTATCAACTGATAGAACAGTTGATACAGAGAGAGGAACAGAATCATTTAAGAATAATTTAACATTCATTGGATTACGTCCATGTGAAGGAAATCTTGAAATAGTATTATTATTTGTTCCAAAGAAAGAAAATAAAATTTGTTCTTCTTTTAAATCCATAAATTTTCTTTTTGGTAAATTTGATATTTCACTTGTTTTATTGATTAAACGATAAAAATTTCAATTACACAAGTATGCACTTTTCACATCCTGACATACGAACAATATTATTTTACATGTTTTTTTAGAAGTACTCCAACTCTCAAAATTTTATGGTTTTTGAGCGACCAAAATTGTAATAAATAAAATATTTATTTAGTAATATTAGGAATAAACCTATGTTAAAAATCGTAAACCATTCAAAAAAATCTGACATCGCCAAAAAATATTACTCAGTATATATTGCTTATAAACGTGAACATGAAATTTTTGAAAAATATTTCTGAAAGAAAATACGTTATTTGACACTTTAGAAAAAAATTAAATTTCGAAAATTTTATTAAAATTTAAATATCTCGAAACTTTGGAATGCTTTGTAATTTTTGGGATCGAGGGTTATTAAAATATTTTAGCTAAATCATTTATTTTTATGCAAGTTATGTCTTTTAATTCAGTATATATTCTAATAAATTTTCTTAATTAATTCCTTTAAACTCATATTCATTTCAATTTCTTATCACATAAGTTATACATTCATTATAGTTAAAACTTTTCAAATCCTTCCAATGGAATTTTTATCAAATAATTTCGCCCAATTCCAAGTTTGAAATCATCGATATTGGAGAATAATACTTGTCCTAATCTTTATTGAGTTTTCCACTAAGCTATTTAAGTCTTATGGCTAATATATCCTCAAAATTATTATTTATTATATGCCTTGGCATAAATAGACACCATTTCCTAATATAAAATCGTTTAAAATTCATTTCCACTCAAATCTAGTTAAATTTATTATAATATAGTCATCTCAAAATCGCAGTTGAATAGCAATTCAATTTTTTGAGAGAAAAAACGTAGTCTTTTCT